CACTGTGAATTTGCTACTGGCAAAGATAGATTTAACTAAGCATTTGGGTGCACCTACGGCATATCTAACTACATTAGCGCCAAGACACTGGTTTGTAATGCAGAAGACCTTGACGCTCCAACGTATGTAGTAGAAAAGCCACAGAGGCCCCCCTTGATCTGCTCTCCCTAAAAAGACCGGGAGCCTTGTACAAAACATTAACAGTTACACATTTTCTACTTGAGGAAGCTTTGGTCTCTGTCGTCGCCTTCGGAAAAGAGCGAAGTCATATAGCATATAAGTTCAATTCTTTGGATCTACAGATCGAACAAAAACTGCAAGGTTGAGTCGATAATTTTTTTGGAGACGCTTGTGAGGAAGCCTGATCTACGAATTCATTGACTAGCTAGCGTATGTACAGAGTTCCCTTATCCATATTTATCGGCCTGAATGAGAAAGTTAACAAATATTACATACGGCTTCAACTGGTAGCATAACGTCATCACCATTTAAGTTACCTAAACACCTTAACCCAGGCCCATCTATTAGCCAAGATAGGATCACTTAGAGCCTAAATTCTCATGTGTACTTCGATCCCATATCCAACGTTTTCACCTAATCAGTGTCTTTGCTATCAAAAATTTTTCTTCTTTTTGCCTACCATGCATAAGTTTCGCAAGATTGAAACTTAAACTGCCTGTGTTGAGTAAGCTGCCCTTGCACGAAGTCCGCTCGTAACCTGCACTCGAGGATCCCTTTATTTAAAAATGGCAGTAAATCGAAAAAGATGTTTGTTCTAGGGCATGCAAAAAAATTTTCCTGATAATTGAAAAACGAGACCATATCTGTGGAGTGGTGTCAACTTCCTAGTCAACTTACATCTGATATCTAGCGACAGCATGCAGATTAACTGTCAGTCAAAACATCTCGGGAATAACTTGACGTAAGTCTGTTCGGAGTTAGAGTGCCCACATCTCATGGGGAAAAAAGCATGCACTGAGGTTTATTTTCTTTTGCCTCCCTCTTCTCTCGGCCTCCTTATAAACGCGAACGAATTAGAGGGTTTGCTTTTGAGTACTCGAACTCAGGGGGGTTAATGTAAAGTATTGGCAGGGTTTTTCGAAGACGCTGAGTAAGGAAGCATTTTGAAGATTCACACAGTCCCCCTAGAGCAGTCATCTACATTGCATCTCTAGGTTTATAATGAATGTGGTCAGAGATGTTCGAAAAAGATGTATGTTAGTGGTGGAGGTTTTAAAATTACAGGGTAAAATTCTATCGGAAACTCAGTTCTCAGAGGATGCAGTCAAACAAATGCGAAGGAATGTGTACAGGTTAGGAAGGTTCCATTCCTCAAAAGACTGCAATAAATGAGATATCGGGCTCTCGCGATCACTGGCTACAGTTTTAAATCACCGGGCCGCTGGAACTGTAGTTGCGTCATCTGCGCTCGGTCATATGCCCAAATATAGGTTCAACTTTTTGAGCTTCTTTGTACTGTCCAATTGCTCCTCATTTTATATTCATCCTTTCGTAAGATTCTCGTTCGGGATTACTTAGATCTCCTTTCCAGCAGGATATGAGAGAAGCAACCCCCCTCCCCCCCTACCTCATGCAGGTGGCCGCAGACTGAATTCTAGGAGGGATGCATATGCCCTTGCCCTAATCGTAACCCAAGCCTTAACTGCAACGTCACTTTAAACCCAATCTTTAATCGGCAGCAGTAGCTTATGTAGCCCCACTCATTAAGCCCTACAACCTGCATGTTTTCCT